ACTGAATACGAGAAGCTGCTTGATAAGAGTGGATAATAAGGAGATTACACAGGCACTAGCTTGTTTGGAGTTAACCATTCAAATATTTGGTGTTGTATGGTTGATTTTTAAACACCGATATTCGAGGTTATGAGAACAGGTTGACATTTCGTCAACAAATCTTGTCGAATTTACCGTTTATCTTTATCTATCTTATTGTCAGTCTGTATAATTTCATGGTTACCGGAGTTTTAAATAATTACGAAGCAACAAGTATTTGCGCAATGTTAATTAGACAGATTACCTTGAAAAACATTGCTGCCGTATTTCTGATATAGTTTTTTGCAAATTTCTCAGTTTTTAATAACAATCAATTTATTTTACGCTTTTTTCTGTACTCCTATAACAGCGCCAGACAACACCTCCAGAGGAATGACGCCAATTTTGAATCACCCTATATATACTCTTTATATTGAGTATATATATACGCTCATAGTTTTAGTCGGAAGGGGGTTTTTCGAAGAACCAACATTTCCCCTAAGCTCATTGGCAATTCGGCCAAAGATTGTAACCTTCCGCCACCTACTCTCATCAACGACTACCTGAGAACGGTCGACGGTTTCTGTAATATCGACCGCGCCTCATAGATAGCTAAACTTTTATCGCCCAGATGGCGCGCAAAGTTCGTTTATTGGGTCGCATCTGTAAGTTCACTTGAGGTGTGATTCCGAAAACGTTTATAAGACAACGCTGCTTCTAAACACTTCACTACACTAAAACTAGTGTCGGTACTTGGAGAACCCTTTAGAGCTAAATACTATTTGGCATCTTCACATTACAACACAAAAATTCAAGAACTGGGACAAGCAAAAAAACTCAGCAAAAAACTGAAATAAACAAAAATATATTCACTATTTATCAATCAATCAGTTCTGTGGTTGAGCAATGTCCTTAATCCTGCCCTCCTGTTGCAACAGCTTGAGAATGTTGGCCTCCAATTTAAAGAGATGGTCGTCTTCGGCCTCAGGAACCACTTTCCTCATAATCTCGGCCAAATTGCAAACGTAATCAATATTGGGGCCACTTGGGCCTACGGACTGCACCACTTGGTGGGCGATTTCCTCGATTTCCGCATGGCCTGCATAGTTGGGATTATCGAAAGAAGCTAAATAAATCGTCATCTCAAACGGTTCCATCGAGTCTTCTTTCGGATGGAATGTTACGAATTTCCTCTCGTAGCCCCCCTTTTCCCGATAGTCGAGGTGTTTGATCACTGAGTCCACATCAGCGTCTTTTATCTTATAGGCTATGCCATATACTCTCGAGTCTTCTGAGGCAGGGACTAACGTGACCACCCTGCCGGGGTTCTCTGGGGTGCCTCGATGGTCGGTGCTAAACTGGTAGAAGCGGCGTTGGTACCCCTTGATGTATCCAATCACTTTTTCCGAATAGGAAAAGTCGACTTTCCACATTAGCGATCCGTACCCGAACACCCACATTTTCGCTACGAATTCACTTTAATTTCGTTAAACTGTACGATGATAAGCATTATAGAAGCGGGAGAAACTAGCACTTGTCACCGCTTTTTGTGGTTAGGATATAGTTTGCAACTGTTCAACTGTTGTTAAATAGGTATTAATTAACAACGGTTTTCTCTAGCGTTGTTGCCGTTCTTTCACCACAGTTTCAAGTGGCTGCCGCTATTAACGTTTAGAAACATTCGTTCGCACAATAACAAGCAACAAACGTCCGTTAGAAACAAACTTCTATATCTTTTACGGAGATCTTTGAATAGGCAACACTGCCATCTCGACTTTAGTATCTAATGCCTACTTGAGTGTATGCTTAACTTCAACTTAATGGACCTAAGTTAGTAAGTAGTAAACTTAATAATTTCTTAAGATTGGATTATTGCGGGTACAGATTGATTCAAAATTGGTTGTCTGAGTGAAAGGATTAAGAAATAGTAGGTAAATAAAAATAATTCCCACTGAAGATATTTTCCAAAAAACTTCTTCATAAATAAATAAGCTGAGCATCTTCGCCATGGCTTCACATTTCAAGCTTTGAACAGTACAATTGAAAAACTAACCTCAATCTACTTGTTCCGTTGACTCGTTAGTGTTAATAAAATACGAATGCACAACCCCGTACTTAATAGATCTATTCAGGTGAGATAAATAACCATGTGTTCCCTTTAAATGCCTATGCAGGCATGCTCACTAATGATAAGAATAAATTTACATAAATTCATAAATCAGTAAACATTTTAGACTACACCAATCGATTAATCGAGAAACTAAATTGATACGTTCAAGTCTGGTGGAGAAGACTTTAGTTCAGTCAAAACGCATTTGACTTTTTTGTTACTGCTCAGTAAAAAGAAACAAAAAACCGGGGGAAAAATCCGGAAAAAATCATACAGATCAATTAATAGACGGAGAAATATAACCAGTAAGCTACGATTCGGTTGCAGGCGAGTCTTTTGTTCTTGCGGGTTAATAAGGCGGGGGAGACAGAGGGGGGTCACGCCGCGACATTCCTCGGTCCGTGGGAAATAAATCCCAACCACTGGACTCTTGCAAGCAACGTTGCCAGGCCACACTTTCAATACAATCACTTGCGAGTAATCCCAGAAAATCACCCGGTGCTAGATCTGGGCCTAGTTGAGGTCGAGTAGCCGGGCTGACAATCCCCAGATAACTACAGGCTAGACAGTTGTGTAAAAAATGCCAATGAATTAATTATTTGCTGGTTCTTTGCGCGGGCATTAGGATTTTATCGAAGATTGGCAACGGCGCACACGACTGTAGTATAGCTGACCATTCTCACTCTCACAGCACTAAAAAGCTAACTAAAACGTTTTGGTTATTTTGGAAGATCGCCGATTCACGATAACGGGCACCATGAATTATACCTAAGAAGTTGGGTAATTAACATTTATGCCGACAAGGGAGTTTTTGTGGAGCCTTGGTGGGACGGCCTGCTCTTGTCTGTGCGATTTTCATCAAGATATTTCCTTCTTTAATTAAGCTAATTAAAATTACATTTTGACTAGTTTTCAATCAAGGAGTTTGATTTAATGTAAATCAAAATTTACTCGAGCTTCATTTAGTGCTAATTGTATCCATTGAGGATTTAAACATTAAACAAACGCTTGAAATTCCTGCAATTTTGACTACTACCTCAAAATAGCGTTGCTTCTATTTAATTTCAAATTTCAACCAATCAAACGCAAGCCCGTTGAGGTAAAACCCCGGGAACAGATGTGATGTAACCTAATTATCTTCCCATTAAATCGATGTAATTTGGCCATTAAAGTCCGGACCACTCACCCAACCTAAACCCGGGTGGCCTATTCATAAACTGACAAATTGGACACTATAAACACGACGCGAGGCGCGAAGAATGCCGATCGGCAAACGAAAAGTACCGATCGCGACCACCTCGAGCAAATGCTGCGCGTGCCGCTGCGTGTGTGGTCTCGATTCTCCACTGGCCACCCTGATACAGTGATGTACACCGAATAAAATACTTTTTAATTAAATTAATGAATATTGTGGTTTAAGAAACAACAGAACAATTAGAAAATCTAGGACTTAATCAGACGAAACTTGGAGATGTTTGAATTCTACCCTAACCACTTATAAAGTTGTCTGTAGACACAAACCACACATTTGCAAGGCAACCCCCAATTACGCATTGTGAAGTGCAATGACGCATGTCCTACAACTATGTAGACTGTGACATTAACACTACTGACAATGACATTGACGTTTTATTACAATTTAGTGCATTTTGCAAGCTAATATAAACTATGTACTTAATGCAATTTGTAGGTTACACTCACATATTGCGGCACAATAAAGGTCTAATTTGAGACGAAAACTTATTCGGAATATTCACCCGACCTAAGGCTGAGTGGGCCGCTGCTAAAGTGGCAAATCGCCTCTCGAGTAGTATAAACGAGACGCGAGGTATTCCGAACGGCTGCCGAAACGGCCCGATTATGGTCACTTAAAGTGAGTGCTGCGCGTGCCGCTGCGTGTGTGGTCTCAATTCTTTCTGAGCGAATCTGGTCGATACCACCGAAAGTCACTTTCCATAGACTTTCGGTGGTATCGATAGAGCGAGCCAAGAGATTTGCTTAGATTAAAGATTTGCCAAGATTTTGGTACTTTTTAGTTTGGTGGATTATTTTGTCGAAACATTACAACTGCAAAAAATTCGATCCGAAAAGTATCTATGCAAAAACTTGCTGTATTGAACTCAGCTGGATTTCGTTGTTGAAGATTTGGATTAAGAAACCGTCACCTCTTTCATCATTCCACTGCATAAAAAACTTAGATAATGAACAAAAATTCGGTTTAGGCGTCTATTACCTATGTAGAAGATTTTATCGACTTTGAGTCTTTTTAAGCCAAGGTAAACTTGATGCGTTTCGACATTGTTATACATTTTAAGTTTTGAGGAGCAGAATTAGAAAATTGACCTCAAATGCGTGGTAGGTCTAACACGTTTGTCAACGCATACCTCTCTGGATGCATTATTGCCGATCTGTGTCTTTATACCGAAAACATCAATAGAATCGTAATTCTTCAAATTAAAGGTTTTCTTGAATTTAAACTTTAGCGATGTTGAATTTTCATTTTCGAGAACTGATATACATATTTGGAAAATAAACCCAAAAACTGTTAATAAACTCAATGATGGCAAAATAATTATTGGTTGCGAATTTTAATATTGAATAATAAAAGGAAATATTAATGCTAAAGAAGCGTCGAACAGTTGTTCCATGATAATCAAGCAGAACTTCCTTAGAATAATTACTAGAAAAATATTCTGAAGGTGCAATGAAAATTAATGAAGGTAAGTGTGATTATAAGCGAGGCAGAACATCTTGGAAGAAGTACTAGAAGAACAGCAAGCAGCCTTTCATGGTAGAAGCTGTCATCCTATCCACACAGGTTTGAGCTGCTAATGATTCAAAAAAGCTTTTCCTCCTATCAAAGCAGTGGAATTTAGAGGTTGAAGACCGGACCGCTGACCAGATTTAACTCCATGTGGCCATTGTTTCACTGTCTCCATAATCAAAACGCACTCCTTTCTGAACCTGGTCATTAGATCGATCAGACAGAATTTGAAAAACCATAGTTTCCAAATTAATTTCCTCGTTTTCAATAGCTCCTACTTTGAAAACTCATCAGTCGATTCGAATGCACCTGATCATCAAACTGATGATTGTTTCTCAGGATCGGTGTGGCCGTTTCAATAAATATGCGACCATAAGCATTAACCACTTGAAATAAATAGTACCAATTTTACACCAATTAAAAGGTAAGTGATGTACGTGCTTGCCGAGGAATTTTTTACTGTAAATGGCCTGTTGGCGACGTGTCGAATGACTTTCGCCATCGTAAAAAAACAAACTGAGGAATTATTCCTTATACAGGTAGATGAACCGGTATATGGTGGTGTTGTGTTGGAAGAAGAAGAAAAAAGTATCCGGGGGTCAAATCAGGAGTTTGATCAATTTGCAATGTTTTGCGCTCGATGATCTAGATGTCTTGAAAAGACTTTAACTGAAGCATCGCACTGGGCGGCTTCTTCTGGATTGGGAGATTCACTCTGGACCACACAAGGAGGTAGGCGCGCCTTCAGAACTATTGTCTAAGCATCCCCACTTCTTCAAACCAATCGGCGCACATCACAAAAGCCCGCCTTTGACCGCACGCCGCTCAGTATTGTGCGCGCAGCACTTCTTAGTTTCTACGAAGGAAAACTTAGTTTTCACACAGTGGTTGCTTTTCTAGTACGATTCTATTTTTAATAGTTAGAACAATAACATTTTCCCACTTTTCCTCGACAAAAATTACGATGAATGCCTTCAAAGCGGCATGATAACGAGGAAGTCCATCCGAACACGAAAAATACGCGGAATCGTTAGCAGATTCTCGTGATTATTCAATCACTAGCTGTTTTATCTTATTATATTTGTCACGTCGCTTTAAACGATTCCAACATTAAAAAGCGACTAATTACATGTAATTGCTTTCAGAGACGAAGGAATGCTTTTTATTGGCACATTTTCTTTATGGCCTCGCGCCGCTTTTTTTCATCGCCGGAATGCAGTGGGTCATTTCGCTCGACTAGGGACGAATTCTGCGCTTAAACGGAACAAGACTGAACCTGTAGACCTGAAGGTGGCTTTAAACGTAGCCGAGGGACGTGGTTTTGCAATATTCACTTCATCGTCAAGCCAAATCGCATTTTCATTAAGTCTTTATAGTTATTGCGGTCTTCAATTCAAGTGTAAAATATTTCTGAACACCACTGGACAACTTCCCAGAGACGATCGAAACAATCATATTGACCTTAATAAATCATAGTATGTAAATCACGGTGCAACGCTATTATTAAGGCAATCTCGACAATGCAATTCATGCAAATCGATCGTGTTAAAGACCTGTAAACAGGGAAAAGGTGTAATTGTTCTATATATGACACGCTCAGCGAACGTATACAATTTAATCAGAACATAAATAGTATGCAAATCGAACAAGCCAGATATACTTCGCAGGTTGGGCATTTGCATTCTCGTTTAGAATAATTGAAAAGTCATTCTAAGGTCTAAATCAAACCGTTTGATCGGTTTCTATCCACTTTGCGGCCCGC